CCAGCCCTAAGTGATCCCAGAGGAGGCCTTCTGTGGTGGGAGGGATGGTCTGGGGAAGGATGTTCTGGGATGCTGTGAGGCCAGGCAGCTCTCACCGTGCCCACGGACCCAGGCCAGGTCTCCCTCACTCTTGTCCATGGGATTTTCCTCCTGGTATTTGGAGTGGAGTCAAGCTGACCCCCTGACTTCTAGGTTCCAATGATGAGGCTCAAAGGTGATGGCTTAGGACTTCCCTGGTGGTCCAGTGGTTAAGAATCTGCCTTTCAATGCAGGGGATGCGGGTTTGATCCCTGGTTCGTGAACTAAGACCCCACATGCTGCAGGGCAACTGAGCCTGAGCATCACAATGAAGATCCTGCATACCACAGCTAAGACCTGACACGGCCAAATAAATCCATAACTATTAAAGGTAATGGGTCCCTGGGAGAGCTCAGGCCGGGGCTCAGAGAAAGCCCAGATCTGTCCCCAGGCACCAGGGAGGTGCTCATCCAGCTGTCCTCGGACCAGTGAGTGTGGGCTTGGCAGGTTCTTGACAACTGGAGAGAGAGTCAGAAATCAAGGCTGTGCTGGCAAACCCAGGAGGTTCAGGGCTGGTCTGCAAGGCCTGTGGGAAGCGGTGCAGTGGAGCAGGCTCGGAATTGCGGCTTGGCCAGCCTCTCATGTGGTCCTAAGCTCAGCCCCTTCTGTGGTAAGGCTCCCAGAACAGGGCCGAGCACACAGCTAGCCCTCAGAAAGTGGCAAATGCTTCTTACTGCTGCTGATACGAGGGCATCTCAGGCACACCTAGTGTTCCACACAGGTCGGCTCTTTCAGAGGCCAGACAAGACCTGGAATTAAAGTGCAGAGCTGGAAGCACATGGAGGTGAATCATGAGTGTCGGATTCCAGGCGCCTGACTCGGGCAGGCCTGGCCGCCGCCTCCCCCCCAGGGCCTTGTTACCCCTGTCTCCCCTCTGTCACGTGGGCAGACATGATGGAGACCCGGAGTGAGGTCACCCGTTCTGGATGATTGCTGGCCCCACCCTTGGATCCAAGGCCTCTGCCCACAGGACGGGTCTTTCCCCAGCTGTTCCCGGCCACCCCCTCCCTGCCAGCACCGCTCACCCACCCATTCTGGGGATTCCCTCTTGCTCGTGGTTGGCCACCCCGGATTCCGATCTCCAGACTCATCAGCTTGGATGAGAGTCTTTGGCCACCCACCCTCTGAAAGTCAGACAGGGATCAGCCCACAAAACAGATGTTTTCTGCTTGTTCGTCGCAGAGGAAGAAACGGCGGGGGGGAGGGGGTGCAGACTCTTCTCATTTGGTCTACCCCGATGTCATCCACAGTTAAAAGCATTTACTTCCAGAGCTAAATTCTGTCTGGTGGTACCACCAGGCTTTTCTAGGGGTACCCCTGAGTGGAATGAGCACAGAATGGGATTGGAAATACTCCCATAACTCACTGTAGGGCCCTGAGCAAGTCTCAGCCTGGGTGAGTCATGGTCTTGTCATCTGCAGAAGGGGGATGACGGCTTCCGGTTTGGCCTCATCACTGTCTCTAATGCAGTGGCACTGCCTGGAGACCACCCCCCACCCCCCACCCCAGCCCAGGGTATCAGGGCAGCCCCCAGGTAGCTCAGCTCAGCCTCGCCCCATCCTGTGTTCTCTGCGTCTCCTGTGACTCGGCGTCTGTCTGGAGCCTTTCCTTGCCCTCCAGGCTGGCTGCTTCTCAAGCTTGGATTCGCACCCTCTCTCCTAGTGGTGGTCACCTTGGGGGCTCCCCCAGGTCCTCCTCACAGGCAGGGGCGCCTGGCCCCAGCTCCCACACATGCTGGTTGCTGACGGCTCGGCTGTGCTCCTCTCCGGAAACCTACCCGAGCCAGTGGGAGTCCCTCCATCCCAAGATGCCCAGAAAATTATTAACTACCTCCCTCCACCCTGGGCTGGCCCACAGCCAGTGATGGACAGATTTGGGGTACAAAACCCAGCCCGCTTCCTCAAGGAGCATCCGCGGTGAGGTTGAGTCAGGAGTGTTGGGCTGCATTCCGCGGGGCCACATACACACGCCAGAGCTCCAGTTTAGAATTCCTGGGACAAAAAGAACAAGCTGTATTTCCTCCTAAGACACCCCATTTCTTCCCTCCTGGAAGGCAGGATGGAGAAAGCAAGCTGTGAACAGGAGGGCAGAACTGGGACTGCGTCCTGGCTCGAGCAGTTATCAGCGACAGGACATAGGTAACTCGCTATACTTTGCTAGGCTTCGGTTTCCTTTGTTAAAGGGTGTGGGTCATAATTCTCACTTTGCAGCACGGCTGTGAGGTTTGAAGAGCAGCAGCAAAAGCCCCTGCACGGTGCCTGCTGCACACAGTGACCCTGGAGGCTTGTCTGCCTCCTTCCCTTCCCTCTTGGGTGGAGAAAGACCAAGAGGGCGGCAGGGGGTGGAGGCCAGGGCATCTGGCGCAGGAACCAAGTCCTCTGGCCTGAGTAGTTGCCCGGCAGGAAAGTCATCAGCGCAGGCGCATGGCTGTGCTCACCAGCAGCCTCCTAATTCTGACTTGGGCTCAGATCAGGAATCAAACCACCTAAAGAGGAAAACCAAAGCCAACTTCGGATGTTCAGCTTTAGGTCTGGAGTCTATCCTGTTGGAGCACTAGCCTGCCAAGGGCCGTGAGTGGCTTGCAAGGACTTCTGGAAGGCTTCTTCATGTGGCCTCAAACCTCCAGCTCACACCACCAGGCCATCTGCCCCCAGAAGCCTCAGGCCATCAATCAGGGAGCCCTAAGCCAAGGTAGCACAGAGGCAGCAAGAATAATGGCCACTCCGTGCAGTCAGGAGGCGTCCCTAGAGAGCCCCAAGCTTCCAGCTGACATCTGAGTTTTCCTCAGTCTGGTACTTCCAGCAAGATGGGCAATGAGGTGGGGGGACTGGTAGACATGGTGGGTGGCACAGGGGGATTTAGAGGCCAGAGGACCGGGCTTTGGATCCGATTCTTGTACTTACTGTGGGGCCGTGGTAAAGAATCCACATGCTGATGCAGGAGATGCAAGAGGCTTGGGTTCGATCCCAAGGCTGGGAAGATGCCCTGGAGAAGGAAATGGCAACCCACTCCAGTATTCTTGCCTGAAGAATCCCATGGACAGAGGAACCTGGCAGGCTACACTCCACCGGGTTGCAAAAGAGTTGGACATGACTTAGTGACTTAACAACAGCAACAACAAAAAGTTTCTACTTATTAACTGTGCAAACTGAGCAAATTACTGAACCTCAGAACCTGGGTTTCTTCATATTTATGACAGACTCATTCTTTCCCTCTACGATTTTAGTGGAAATTAAATGACATAATGCAAGGGAACTTGTTCAGTCCAGGTTTTGACCTAATCAAGGCAGTTAATAAAGGACTGAGATCATTCCCCACCCCAGGGATCAGGTTCTTCTATTCAATTGTTCCATTACACCAACTGGCTCAGTGACACCAATGATCTCCTCTGTTTTTAAAACTTTTTCTCCTCTTCGAGAAGAAGTTCTTCAAAGCCATGCCCTTTAGTCCAGTGGTCCTGAAGCTTTACTCACCCACTGTTCTGGACAGATTATGTGCTAAAAAAGGGATCCCTGACCTCATCTTACTGACAGACTCAAGATCACTTAGCTTACCTTAGGAATAAACAAGACAATGCGGCAAATGCACTCACTCCCCTCCTTGAACCAAAGATCCTCATCTGTTTACTTATAGTGAATCTGCATTTGTTGGTACATGCCATAGGATTTTGTCCACTCAGGTCAGCTCTGGGAACATCTTAAATACCTGCTCCAGAGTTCTGGCCCCTGCCTTCCCTTCCAGTCCAAGTCTTTCCTGACTCTGCTTCGCTGTGTTTTGGTCCTGGACCAAATTCATCCCAGTTAAGCTGAAGGTTAGGGAGAGAAAGGACTAGTTAGACATTATGGTTCAAATGAATCAATTAATCCAGTGGTTCTCAAACTTAGCTGGCCATGAGAATCACCCATGGAGCACCTGTGTCAGCTTCCCTTGTAGCTCAGACCGTAAAGAATCTGCCTGCAATTCAGGAGACCTGAGTTCGATTCCTGGGTTAGGAAGATCCCCTGGGGAAGGGAATGGCTATCCACTCCAGTATTCTTGCCCGGAGAATTCCATGGGCAGAGGGGCCTGGCGGGCTACAGTCCATGGGGTCGTGAAGAGTCGGACATGACTGAATGACTAAAAACAATCAATCAAATGTGGAGAATCTATTAATAAGATCCCTGATGCCCAAGTGCACTTGAGATCAGTTATACCAGGATTTCTGGGCATGGGGACCAGGCAGAGTATTAAGCTTGAGCCAAGTGACTTAGCTGCTGTTTCTGAGTCAGTACCGTAGTTGCTAAGTTCCCCGTGCATCCCACTTTACAACAGCCCACAAGGAGTCAGGCACACAGCCAAGGCTTCAGAGAATAACAGAATAACTCAGTGTGTTCCTGATTAACTCCTAGAATTGGAATATGGTGACTATTCCAGGATCACACATTTGTCCCGAACTCATACATGACAAACATTTTATTCCATTAAAAAAAAAGTCATCTGTTAACTGCTGAACTGCAGGGGACCACATTTGAGCCTACTTCAGAAAAAGACATCGGGGAACAAATACAGATTTTCAGCGTCACAACATGTCTGGATTCTCCTCCCCTCCCCGTATTAAACAGTACTCAGTGGACTGAGGCCAGTTCTGTTAAGAGCACCTAACCTCTGACTTCCCCAAAACCCAGGATCACCCTAACTACATCACACGGGGGTCTTTCTGGCAGCCAGCTGCTGTGGCTGGAGCACAGGAGGCGACACCCGGGTGGCATCAGCTCTCCACCCCCACCCCCACTGGCGGTGGGCTCGTTCTGGGGGCCACACCCAGGGCAGCATTGCCATCTGGGGCGCACATGAGCAGACGCCCTGTTGAGCTGTGGCGGGCTCTGAGATGGGTTCTGTCCAGGCTGGAAGCAGCTTAGTTCCGCTTCACTTCACAGCAAACGTCACACTCTGAAGGGGCAGTTGGGAGGGGCTGCTCCCCATTCACAGTGCAAAGAGGTGCTTCGCCCGAGGGCCTGAGGATCTGTATCAGAGCAGGCCCACCAGGAGAGTCCAGCTGAGCCAGGGTGGAAACAGCCAGCCAGGCAGGGCTGAGGAGCCGGGGTGCAGGCAGCCAGACTAGCCCTGCTTGTTTCTTGATTCCCAGCTATTTCTTCTTCTTCTTTTTGGTTGTGCCAGCCATGCAGGATCTTAGTTTCCCGACTAGGGATTGAACTGGGGTCCAGAGCAGTGAAAGCACCAGGTCCAAACCACTGGACGGCCAGGGAATTCCTCCGAGCGACTTCTGAAGACACCAGTGTCCATGCCACACGTGGATATCTGGATCCAGCCTGAAGGCAGGAGACCATCTGCCGATCAACAGTGACTGCTCGAGCTGCCCCAAGCCCCCGACATCCTCGGCGGGGACCTGCTGAAGGCAGTGCGGTCTCCAGGGTCCAGAGGTGCCCAGGCTGCTTGCGGGGCTTCGTGTTCAGGCTCATCTGCTTCCCTTCCCACTCCCACCCGGCCGAATCTCTGGGGGCTGCACGCGGGGCTAGACGCTTCCCCCACCTGCAACGGCAGAGGTATGCGCTCCCCACCACTTCACCTGTATTTCTCCTCTGTCCCTACCCACCCTCACCCCAGCACCGGATCACACTGTGGAGGCGCCCTGCGGATGCCAGTCTGTCAGAATGCAAAGGCAGACATTCAAGACACTGGACTTTTCCCTGAGCCCGGGCCCCAGACTCGTTCCTTTGCCCCAGGCCCAGGGGAGGGGCCGCAGCGGGCCTGCAGTCACTCCTGCACCAGGAAGTTGATGAGGGCGGTGCGTGGGGACAGGAAGGCCTTCTTGATGCTTCGCCCCTGTAAGAGCCTGACACCCAGCTCGCTCTGGAGAACCAGTTCATGGACTTTGTCCTGGTCCTGGGCGACATTCTGGGGTACGGGGACTTTGCCACAGGCTTTGTTGTTGATCTGACAAGGTGAAAAGAGAGACAACCCATGAGGAAAGCTTGAGAGTGGTAGGCAGCCTGACACCCACTGCCCCTAAAGGGAGCTGCTGTCTCTGCGTGGGGAGAGGGCGTGGGAAGAGAGAAAGAAAAGGCGGGACCTGGCTTCCCAGAAGAGCGAAGTGTAGTGAGATGGGTGGGATTAACACCTGAACACCGCAGAGAGGGCAGGGGCACCACCCCATGTTTCCTGAACGCTGCTGCAATCACACCTTGGTGGGAATTATGTCAAAAACTCTTGGCATGAGGTGGTTCAGGCTGTATTCAGGAAGAGAGGGACAATTGTGTTACTGAAGATCATGTCGAGTTCAGATCTGGCTACAGGGCGTTTCACGTGGACTAATTTCTGGGGAACATGGGCAACCTCCCTTCCGGATGACTGGCTCCAGAAGGGGGTGCTCACATGTGACAACCTGGAAACAGGATCCACACCATTCACAGTTCTTACCTAAAATGGGCCAGTATGGTTCCAGATGTTCAAGCTGGATTTAGAAAAGGCAGAGGAACCAGAGATCAAATTGCCAACATCCTCTGGATCATCGAAAAAGCAAGAGAGTTCCAGGAAACATCTAATTTGGCTTTATTGACTACGCCAAAGCCTTTGACTGTGTGGATCACAACTAACTGTGGAAAATTCTTAAAGAGATGGGAATACCAGACCACCTCACCTGCCTCCTGATAAATCTGTATACAGGTCAAGAAGCAACAGTTAGAACTGAACGTGGAACAACAGACTGGTTCCAAATTGGGAAAGGAGTAGGTCAAGGCCATATATTGTCACCCTGCTTATTTAACTTATATGCAGAGTACATCATGAGGAAACACTGGGCTGGAGGAAGCACAAGTTGGAATCAAGATTGCCAGGAGAAATATCAATAACCTCAGATATGCAGATGACACCACCCTATGGCAGAAAGTGAAGAAGAACTAAGAGCCTCTTGATGAAAGTGAAAGAGGAGAGTGAAAAAGTTGACTTAAAACTCAACATTCAGAAAACTAAGATCGTGGCATCCAGTTTCATCACTTCACGGCAAATAGATGGGGAAATAATGGAAACAGTGACAGACTTTACTTTTCTGGGCTCCAAAATCACTGCAGATGGTGACTGCAGCCATGGAATTAAGAGACGCTTGCTCCTTGGAAGAAAAGCTATGACCAACCTAGACAGCATATTAAAATGCAGAGACATTACTTTACCAACAAAGGTCCGTCTAGTCAAAGCTAAGGTTTTTCCAGTGGTCATGTATGGATGTGAGAGTTGGGCTATAAAGAAAGCTGAAGGTCGAAGAATTGATGCCTTTGAACTGTGGAGTTGGAGAAGACTCTTGAGAGTCCCTTGGACTGCAAGGAGATCCAACCAGTCCATCCTAAAGGAAATCAGTCCTGAATATTCATTGGAAGGACTGATATTGAAGCTAAAACTCCAATACTCTGGCCACCTGATGCGAAGAGCTGACTCATTGGAAAAGACCCTGATGCTGGGAAAGATTGAAGGCAGGAGAAGGGGTCGACAGAGGATGAAATGGTTGGATGGCATCACCGACTCGATGGGCATGAGTTTGAGTAAACTCTGGGAGTTTGTGATGGACAGGGAGGCCTGGCATGCTGTGGTTCATGAGGTCACAAAGAGTCGGATGCGACTGAGCGACTGAACTGAACTGAACGGTTCCAGACACCAGTGGTATTATTCACTGAATGTTGGTTCAATTATTTGATGTGAAGGTTAAATTTCACATCAAATATGAACTGATATTGTTGCTAAGGAAAGTGACATGTGATCCAGATAGCTTCTGAACAGCTTATTTCAAATCCTCCGTCCCAGTGGCTCCTGTCAGAATGCTTACGTTTCTTTCATGAATGCTCCAGTTTTTAACTTGGAAAATAAAGTCACTGTATAATGAAAAGTTACCGGGAAGAACTTCTGAAGTTTTAACCAAAGCATATTATCCAGGATCCCACAGTCGCCCATTTATCTTTTCAGACTTCTCTGTGGCATTTTTAGAGGCTGCACTGGCCTAGATCACTGTGCTGTGCGGTGTGCGCTAAGGCACTTCAGTAGTGTCTGACTCTGCGACCCCATGGACTATAGCTCGCCAGGCCCCTCTGTCCATGGCGTTCTCCAGGCAAGAATACTGGAGTGGGTTGCTATGTCCTCCTCCAGGGGATCTTCCTGACTGGGATGGAACCCACGTCTCTTACATCTCCTGCATTGGTAGGCAGGTTCTTTACCACTAGCGCCACCTAGAGGACGGGATGGGAGGCGGGTTCTTTACCAGTCGCACCGCCTAGGCGACGGGATGGGAGACAAACCAGCCGTCACCTCAAACAGCGGCTGCTTGCCTTAGGAAGGTCTCCAGTTCCCCACCTGGGGGCCGTGCTGGCTTCCGCCCTTTGGCCTTGCCAGCTCCACTTCACCACTCGGCCTGCGTCCAGGCCTCTGTGCTGTTCTCTAGGACTCTCCCAACAACTGCCTGGTGGCCCCCGGCCGCGAGCGCTGTCCCCGCACCCCCTGACCACCCCATCCGCTGCTCACTGACAGGAGCCCCACAGAGGCTCATGACAGTAGAGGCGCTCGCTGTCTGAGCTCTCTCTCTCTCTGCCAGGCACCGGGCTCCACAGGTCACACGAGAGGCCCTGTTTATCCCTGTCACAGGCCTGAGGCAGCCACTGCCATTCCAGCCCCGCTTCTCAGAGGGCCAAACTGAGGGACGGGACTGTGAACCCACACACCCCGGTCCCCACCCCAGCCCACACTGGGGACGGGATGACCCCTGGACTCCCTCTCTTCCCTGCCAGCCCCCAGCCGCTCCAGATGCAGTCCGGCCCTCTCTCGAGAGTGGCCCTGCCTCTGCTCCAGCCCCTCCTCGGCTCACGGTCCAGGGAGGGCTCCCCCCGCGGTGGCCCCTTCCCTCCACTTAGGGAAACCGTGCTCCTCTTTCAAAGCCAAGGTCACATCCTCTTCCTCAGGACACGTTCCTCAGCGCTCCAGCTGCCAGAGGCAGCGACGCCTATGTGAGCAGCGGTGACCACCTAGCATGTGAGTTACTAAGCCCTGTGCTGCCACTGTTTTCCTCTTTGTGAGAGAGGGCCTCGTCTGTGAAATGTGGAGAATAGCAGGGTCTGCCTCGTGGGACTGCTGTGCGGGGTCAGTGAGTTAGTACCTGGAAAATTCTAAGGGCAGAGCCCGCTTCTTAGTCGGTGCTCACAGTGTGTTAGTGGGTTTTGTCATTAGTGCGTCCAGAAGCAGGTTAAGCACTCCTGGCATGCTCCGTCTAATTCTTGGCATAATCAGGTGAGGCAGGCCCTGGATTTGACTCCACTTTCTAACTGAGGAAACTGAGGATTAAGCATTTTGCAAAGTGAGGTGATCCAAGTCCCAAGCTCTTCTGTCTTAACTTGGAGGCTATGCAAATTGTCAGTGTGCATGACAACGTGTGTGCCTCCCCAGACCGTCTCTCCTGGTGCTGGGGTCCACGGACACGAGGCGGTGCCTCTGGGCTCAGAGCACAGAGTGTGGCTGAACTGAGTTACGCTGAGTTACGCTGTTCTGTGCTGCAGCTTCTATTTCTGGCCTTGGCCCTGAGTGAGATCACGTGGAGACAGGACGGCAGGCCTCGACACCCCGGCCAGGAGGCTGTTGAGCTGGGTATGCTTGCAAGGAGCCCTACACATTTTAAATCTTGAAATTTTTATTTCAATGGAAATCTAAGATTATTTTACCAATTATCAAAACTCGATTTCTTTTCCGCAGTGGATAATTTAAAATGGAAAGACATTTTCAGACTAGAACTTCAGCGTCTCAAGTTTGGCATTTCTGGGACTTCCCTGGTGGTCTAGTGGTTCAGACTCTGCAGGGGGAGCTGGTTTGATCCCTGGTCAAGGGAACTAAGATCCCACAGGCTGCAGGGTGTGGCAAAAAAAAAAAGTTGGCCTTTCTCAACCTCAGCTTAGGACGAGTCCTTAGAAGTACGCAAGAGAATTATTTCTTAGAAACATTAACCAAATTAAAGAAATTACCTCTCTGTGGCACAGGCTAGTTTTGAAGACTCTGGGAAGAAGCCTAGCCAAGCAGCCCCACCTCCTTGCCCTCTGTGGGCAGGCGAACAGGAGGCATCGAGGAAGTAAGTGCCAGGGGAGAGCGTGAGGAGAAAGAGTGGCTGACAAGGAGCCAGTCTCCTGGGGGCTACTGTCTTTCCCAATGTGGACCTGCCCGCAGGGCCCAGGGTCAGCAGATGCAGCAGGTGGGGACTGGCAGGCCCGGCTACCCCTCAGCCTCTGGGTAACTTGTCTGAGGCACGTTCCACAACTTGCAATCATTTTGTTTCTATTTTTCTTTCCTTCTTATTTTTCCCTATCTCTTCTACCAGGCTTTAAGCTCCACGAGGACAGGGACCTGGCTTTTTGTATTTGGGTTTGGGTCCCAAGAGCCTGTGTTAAGGTAAGGGAGGTAACTGGATAATGACTGAGGAATAAACAAATGTGGGCAAAGTGATGAGCTCTCTGAGCCTGTGTCCTCAGCTGAAAAAAAAAAAAAATGAGGACAGTGATGCCCACCTTTCAGGGTGATGAGAGTTGGGATGTAAATCCGCTGGCCCACGTGTGGTTCAGACTAAAAGGTCTGCCCTTGTTTTCTTTCCCTCTTCAGCCACATCAGCATATTGAAGAGAGATTCCTCACAATGGGTCTCAGATTAAGCAAACTAAATGCATAAGGATAAACTAGAGCAGAATTACTAGCTCTATATTATAATTGACTACTGCTATGTATTTAAAATGATCCACTTTACCAAAAAAGAGATTTCATGTAGCCTTTCTGAAATATATTTTGCAGAGTGAGGGATTCCATGCCCACCACCTCACTATCACCCTACCCTTTCCAAAAGCCAAGAGCAGCTGAATGAAACCTAGAGAGGCTGAAACACAGTTGGAATGAAGACAGAACACATAAGACAGGACAGGTTGATTCTTTCCATGCTCTCAAAAGCTCAAAGGCCACAGGTTTTCTGCTCACAAGCTTTTGGTATGTGGTGACCTCAAAACTGAAGGTGCTGGCAAAGCAAGACAGGCTGGAAGGTCGGGCAGAGAGTCGGAGAAACCTCCAGACCCAGCCGTGTGTGTGTGTGTGTGTGAGATTCCCCTGGGTGCGAGGGGCCTCGGGAGGCACTCACCAGACCTCCAGACCCAGCCGTGTGTGTGTGTGTCTGTGTGTGTGTGTGTCTGTGTGTGTGTGAGAGAGAGATTCCCCTGGGTGTGAGGGGCCTCGGGAGGCACTCACCAGAACCGCCATCTGCACGACCTCGGGCTGCTGGAGGAATTGCGGGTCCACGGTGGGCCAGGCCTGAAGCAGCACGCTGGCGTCCCAGGCGTAGTGGGCACACAGCTTCTGTGGCACCAGTGCCAGGCCTGTAACACGGAGACACAGAGAGTCACTGAGCACATACGGGCTCACGGGAGCACATTGTAGAGCGTCTGTCCCGACACGGCCTGCCCTGGAGCTGTCTGAGGCCCCAGGGGCCCCACCGTGGCTTTCCACAGCCCACCAGGGGCCCCCACTTCCTTCAGCCTTGCTCATCATCCCAGCTTATTTATTAAATATATTTTGGCCATAGGAGGCTAGTTTGGGGGAGAATGGATCAGTGTATATGTATGATTGAGTCCCTTCGGTGTTCAACTGAAACTACCACAATACTGTTAATCAGTCAGACCCTAAAACAAAATAAAAAGCTTAAAGTTTGGGGAAAAAAACTTTTTTTTTGACTGCACCAAGTGGCATGTGGGATTCCAGTTCCCTGACCAGGGATCGAACCTGCACACCCTGCACTGGAAGCGTGGAGTCTTAACCACTGGACTGCCAGAGAATTACCATCTCAGTTTATAGGTAGCTTTTTTTTTTTCAACGATACCCAGAGCAATAAAGATGGGTGAACACACTGATCTTAAGTGTGCATTTGGAAAAGCAAGGCTGCTGACTTTCCTCGGTCTCTGTAGTCCCGCTGGTGAAGCTCTCCAGTGTGAAGATCCCAAAGTAACGAGCTGTGTTTGCTTCCTCTCTGGCCCGAGAATACTTGTGGTCTGAGAGGGCCTCCCACCCAGTCCTTCGACTCCTAATCGACCGAGCCAACATGCTGAGAACAGCAGGATGCTCCTTCCGGACCTACTCAGAAGGAGCTCAACCTCTCAGCTGAAGCCTCCTCTCGTGAGAGGCTCCCACCAGTTGCAAGTTGTAAAGAGCTGTCCTTGGCTCAGGCTGGGTCCAACCCGAGGAAGCTGGGAGGAATGAAAGCCTCTCCCCTCTGGAGCTCCCCAGTGCTTCGTGCTGCAGCCAAGGCCGAGGAGGCTCAGCGCCCCAGAGACGCTCATGGCCAGTGGTCTGCACCCTAGGGCTTCAACCAGGGCTTCTCTAGCAGCGAGGGTTTGACCTCTGAGCCTCTGCTGATATCGGGAGTGCAAAAGATGCCCCCAAATGTGCAGGAATACACGGGGCAGAAAAACCGATGCCTGGGCAATTGTGGCGTGGCACCTCACCGCTGCCTCCTGGTCCTCCCAGAGGCAGGCCTTGAGCGAGAGGGCACATGAATGAGGGCAGTGTGCCCATGTGGGGACGTTGCCATGGCAACGGCACAGCCCTCACACTGTGAGTGGTTTCTCCAGGGCTGGTAGAGGTGGCATGGCCCTTACATTCCGTGTTTCCCCCGCCCCAACCCGCCCCACTTATTATTAGCCTTGAGACTAGCAGATACATTTGAAGTTTGAGTCTGGGACAGAGGAAATGAAGCCCACCAATGCCAGTCCCGAACACTGGGCTGTGAGTTGACAATGTTTTATTTTCTTTGATGACAAAACTGATGCATACTCCTTGCAGAAAATTTGTAAAAAGTCAAAAAACAAAAAAAAATCATGTTCACATGGATAGCATCTATAAAACTTTTTATTTTGAAAGATAGTAATATAATATATTGAATGAATATTTGTATGATATTGTATCCACAGAATCAAGCCAAACCACCACCTGGATCATGCTATAGACACAGTTTTGGATTCTCTTTTCTCCTACATTTTAAACTAGTAATCAGCTTCATGGAAAATGATGACACACAATAGTATATATACTATGGTCATAGTTTTAGCAAATGTTTATATAAACAGATAGAAAAGTCGAGGAAGAAAAACAGTAGAATAGCAGCAAGGATTATCCATGGGAGATATAAGTATAGGCAATCTTCTTGTTAAAAAAAATTATAGATTTTTCTACAAGGAATACTCACAGCTTTTGTAATTTGAAAAGATATTTATAAACAGTGTTCCCATACTGTGACATCAGTTCAAGAATTTTCTTCTGGTTTCTTTTTAAGGTTTCATTTTCTTTTCCATTTATTCATAATTTATTTATCTGTAATTTATTTTGTGTATAATGTGAAAAAAAAATACACAGCAGTTTTCCAAACTGACTCCATTGAATAAAGCTTCTCTTCCCTATTGGTTTGTGATTTTGTTTTACAATATACTATACTAGATATGGGCTTCCTTGCTGGCTCAGACAGTAAAGAATCTGCCTGCAATGCAGGAGACCTGAGTTCGATCCCAGGGTTGGGAAGATTCCCTGGAGAAGGGCAGGGAAACCCACTCCAGTATTCTTGCCAAAAGAATCCTCATGGACAGAGGAGCCTGGCGGGCTACAGTCCATGGGGTCGCAAAGAGTCAGACACAGCTGAGCGACTAAGCACAGCACATACTAGGGATGGCTGCAGAACTGTTTACTATGAAGATACTTAAAATGCCTGCATGTGATGAGGTGAAGAACGGGTCAGAATATGAATCAGCACACTGCTTCCTTCAGTGAGAAAGTCTTGCTACCAACAATATGGTCAGTTTTACTGGAATGCATGCTTAGTGACACAGGCCATGGACCTGCTAAGCTCCTCACCTTGTCCTAAGCTCTGAGAGACAGTTCCCAGACCAGCCTCAGGTCTCTGGACCACTCTGAATGGCACTGGTGTCTTACTCTGGTGACCTGCGTGTCTCAGCCCCCGTGCGGGCATTGCGGATTTGCTGTAGCATCCTATGTTCTACTTTCTGGCGCTCTTCCTGTCACCCTGTGCTGGCAGACAGCCTGGGGGAGGGGAAGGCCCCTGGGGATCTGAGAACCCAGTGGCATTGGAGATGCGCTCCTGGCCCCATCTGGCCCCCGTGCCCTGGGCTTCCCCTGCTTCTAACGAGCCTGTTCTGTTTCCAACACATGTGCCTCTTGGCAGAAGCAGAAAGGAGCTTCCTGCTGGTTCCTCAGAAGGGTTCCTATTGAGACTCATATCTAAATACAGGACAGAGGTCACAGAAGGGAGATAATCAGGTCTTTATTTTAGCTGGCTGGGCCAGCATGGCTTGTTCTGTGACCCAGCTGCCATGGGCAGCATTCCAGAGCCTCCGCATGGCAGTTGCACAGGATGCCTGGGAGATGAAAGGACCCTGGACACAAATGTTCTGGGCAGAAGCTGTTACAAATTCCACTTTAAAAAGAAATGAGGAAGCCCAGCCTTCCTGGAGCAATCAGGATGCTTATTTATAGTGGCTGGCGGCCCTGCCAGGGATTCCATATAGATGGGAGAGGGGGGGCCCCCCCACCTCGCTACCCCTGCCCTGTCCTGCTCAGCAGGGAGGAACAGAAACTCACGACCCCAGGCTCTGCGTCATGTTTTTGCCTTCCTGCTCTTTTTAGGGAACTAAAAATACCTACCATTTGCATGGCAAATACAATGCTTTCTTTACGTGACACAGGTCAGGCCGGGAGCTGGTGTTTGGGAAGCACATGGAGAAAGTCTGAACACGGGCTGAGAAGCGGCAAGGTTCTGATACACAGGCCACCGTGGAGGTCAGCTGTCGCTCTCAGCCCACCCTCTTCCTGCCCCTCCCTGGAGAGCTGCTGTCGCTGACCTTCCTGTGCAAAAACCGAAACAACCCTCTTCTCCCGCCCCGAGAGCTGCTGAGTCTCACGCCACCATGGCACTTGGAACGAGAGCAGGTGGTCAAGGTGTCTGTGGATGGCAGGCCTCCCCACCATGCGCCACCCACCCCTGGCACTGCCAAGGAAATGGGCTGGGAGAGACGCTGCTTCATGTTAGCCTTTACCCACAGAAAGGGTTCTAGTGACATTGCCTCAGTGGTAAAGAATCCGCCTGCCAATGCAGGAGCCACAGGTTCGATTCCTGGGTTGGGAAGATCCCCAGGAGAAGGAGGAAATGACAACCAACTCCAATTTTCTTGTCTGGGAAATCACATGACCTGAGAAGCCTGGTGGGTTATAGTCCATTGAGTCCCGAAAGAGTCGGATATGACTCAGTGACTAAACAACAACAAAATAATGTGGAAACAGCACACACATTCATGTATAAAACCATAGGAACATCAGCAAATATCTTACTGTCCCTTACAAGTATCACACACACACTTCTAGATGATTTGTGGATTTGCAAGTTTTTTTTTTTTTTTTGGCCTTTCTGAGTGGCTTGCAGAATCTTAATTCCTCAGCCAGGGACTGAACCTGTGCCCTCTGCAGTGAAAGCTCAGAGTCCTAACCACTGGACCACCAGGGAAGTCCCAAGATTTGTAGTTTTGTTGAAATTAATGAATACAGCATACATGCACAGCAAAACAATATAGCTACAATATTTTACCACCATTTTTACGAAGAAAAAAATTTGTGGTGGTAGACTACACTTCACTATCATGAGTTACTTGAGAAACTTAAGGGAGGCAAAGGGTCACCGTGCTGTGACCCTAATAATTAAGATGTTGATGGAAGACTCAGAGACGGCAAGAGGTAGAAGCAAGATGCAAAAAGCAAGGTAGAAAAATCACTGTTGAACTGTAAAAATGGCCAGAGAAACAGAAATGGGAGATCTTATTACTACATTTTAAATAACTTGTATTTGGAAAAGAGGCTAATTGCAAAGTAGCACAAAAAAAAAAAAAAGAAAAAGAGGGAAAATCACTTAAATGCCCATCAACAGACAACTGTTGAATAACTGATGGAAAGAATATTCACTAGGTAAGACACCATGAAGCTTTTTAAAAAAGAACTGTAAGTCAGCCTGTAAGTGTTGATACAGAACTACCCAATACAACACTCAGTATGGGAAGAGAGAAAAATTTCACCTACATGCATGGAGTTCTGACAATTTGACTGTCAGACTCAGCAGTGGAGGCGCCTGGGGAGAACAACCGAGCCTAAGGGTGAGGCTGCGCGAGAACCTAGGACACACCCTCTGTAAGAGTTTAGGGTTCCTCAGTATGTGCATAGACGTAATTTTCAAGGAAAACTCTAGGATTTGCTTTGCTTTAAGAAGCCCAGAGGGGGAACCTCGTGTCCTTTGTCTGGAAACAGTGTCAGTGACTCCAAACATGCAAAATTTCCCTAACACCCTCATGGATAGGACAATACTCTATGATGATAAACAAAAGATAACTCTGTAAATTCAGATTGTGGTCTCCTGATCTTCTCAGATCCAGAGCTTCCGGAAGGAAAAAAAGATTTCCTCATCCTGTTAACGTGTGCACACTGCCAAGACACTGGTTCTATTATTTCCCACTGAAGGTCTCCACTGACTCTTTACATGGTTGGTAGAGGACATTATTAGGCTATCAAGTACTTTGGGTTTCTCTAAAGGTTTTCTTTTATTCAGAGCCACGATGGCTATTTTGCCCATGGACCCCAAACAGCCCTCAAAAGACAGATCTCATCTGATGTCCTTTGGGGAGAATCTCTTCCATGAAAACCTGCTTTTCTGGGGAGAAATGGTAATTTCTGAACAACCCACCCTCACTGACCGTACTCCCATTGTAGTCACTGTGCGGTTATCTAAGATGCAGCAGGGAAATCAGAAGCTGTATGAAAGCTATGTTTTTTATTTATTTATTTGCGCTGGGTCTTAGTTGCAGCATGCGGAATTTTTTGTTGTTGCTGTTGCAGCAAGTGGCTTCTTTAGTTGAGGCATGGGAACTCTTAGCTGCATCATGTGGGATCTAGTTCCCTGAGCAGGAATCGAACCTGGACTCCCTGCATTGGGAGTGTGCAGTCTTAGCCACTAGACCACCAGGGAAGTCCTGAAAGTTATGTTTACTTAGCCGTGAGAGGAGGGCGGCTGACAGTGTGGGACGACAGTAACGACGTCCCTGCACAGCACAGTGCGTCTGCTTGCAGAGGACTCTCACTCCTGCGACGCTGGCCCTTACCGGACGCTGGGAGAGGCCGGGAGGGGTCAGGTTCCCGCCGTCCGCAGGAGGCGCCTGACAAAGGGCGAGCTAACGGCCCGGGTGCCGTGCCTGGGGTGGGGGACTCCTCACCTGGCTGTGCCGTGGCCCCGCTGCCCATTCGGAGGAGGCCCACACACACTCATGTGCAGAGCCAGGAGACAAAGGTTTCCCACTGCTTCTTTAAACGCTTGAGGGATGACCTTTCAAGGGAATGAACACAGACTGCAGTGCCCGCTGCTCCGAATGCCCTCCCCAGCTTTCCCACCAATGCCTAGAACAGAGTCCGGCACAGAATACACGCTCAATGAATGTTCACGGAATGACTGAACGAGACCGGTTAGGAAAACTCAGATTCAGTCTAGACCCACTCCTTATTATAATACAGCTCACAAAACCCACTGGAGTCACATGTGGGGAGAAACACGGAGCCGAATCTGAAACGGACTAGTTTCTATCACACTGCTTTAGTGTATGTCCTTCAGGAGAGCCAACAACTGAAAAACAGACCAGCGGGGTATCACCACAGTGTACACCTCTGGTAAGACCTGCCGGCTGGGGGTAGGACTCTGGAGACAGCAGGCCCTCTCTGCCACCCTCCGAATCCTGGCCCTAAGACACAGACTGGAGGGGCATGCAAGGAGGGGATTTCTGAAAACCCCATTTACATCAGTCCCTCGTCGGGGAAATGGAATGAAGAAGGCAGACAGATAATGCGGGACTGAAAATGATAAGAGGGAGAGATGTGTATATTCCAGGGTGAGAGTGAATACGTTTATTACAAATTAGATAAGCTTTGTTTTATAAGAAGGGAAGAGCAGGAAAGAATTAACAGTGTGCTACTTAAAAGACTTAATGTGCTCACCAATGCTAAATGAAAGAGGCATGTTTCCTGCCTAAGGAGATAATGAAAGGGTGCATAAGCTAATGTAATATGGCAGCAGCCTGGCAGGGCCTAATAGCACCCTCCCTTTAGGGCATTCTGTCTATTCAGTAAGGAACGGGGGGGCGTTCTTGTCCCATGTGGTGTGTTCTAAAGCACAGAAGCAACTCAATTCACTTGGTGAAGGCAGTGAAACCCTTATTTCCAAACCTGACAAGGTACAGTGAGGAAAAGCTGGTTTCTCCTAGGAGAGTAACTGCAAAATCCTAAATCAAACACTAGCAAATAGGAGTTACAGTATGTTAAAGGTGTATGACCCCATGGCCAAGGTAAATCTATCCCGCAATAGCCTGTTGGGCAATCAATTAATTGTACATAAGTCATATCATCAGGACAAAGGGGAAAATTAAAAGCCAAGACTATAATCAACTGAAGAATGGATGTTTAGTAAAATCTACCTCCCTTTCCTAAGGTGAGTTCTGGTAAACAAGGCTAGCTGGCCGCTTCCTTAACACGACAGGGAATATCTACCCTAAACCAACAGCCAACAGCAAACCTCACAGGGAAACATGTTCCACTTAACTTTGGAAATGCGAGGAGACTCGCTGTCACCAGTATTCTTTAACATCCCATGGGGTTTTCTAAGCAGTATATTAAAGAAAGTAAACAGGCACAAGAGCGTAACTGTTCGAAAGGAGGAAACGTATGCTTATTTGTTAGTCACAGACTCCTAGAAAATCCAAGAGGATTCTACCCCTAAATGAAGGAAGAGTGATTGATAGGGAATCTGGTTATAAGTAAGTAAATAAATACTAAAAATCATACACCAGATATTACCAGTCAAAAATTATAAGAGAAAAAAAAAGATTCCAGTTAGAGTAAAAAAAATAAAATGAACTATGGCAAGATGTTGGGAAAGGTGAAGGCAGGAGAAGAAGGGGACAACAGAGGATGAGATGGTTGGATGGCATCACTGACTCAATGGACATGAGTTCTGAGCAAGCTCCGGGAGTTGGTGATAGACAGGGAGGCCTGGCGTGCTGCAGTCCATGTTGCAAAGAGTCAGACACAACTGAGTGATTGAACTGAACTGAACTGATGGCAAGATGAAATATTTGAAAATAATCTTAAGAAATGTGTGGGATCCATATGAGGAACTTGACTGGGTGTGAGGGAAATCTTGAATAAATGGAGAGACAGACCATGTTCGGGGATGGAAACCTAGATGCAGTAGATGTGAAGCTTTCCCAGGTTACTTCCAGGCTTAAGAAAATCTCAGTCAAATATCTCAAGGAGATTTTGGGAGAACTTAACAAAATCACACCCGAGTTCTACTGAGAAGAATAAACCAATGAGAAGAGCTAAAATAACCATGAAAAAGAAATGAATGCTGCTTCTCAGAGACCCCCAGATAAAAGCATAATGTAACACAGCATCCTTAGGCTGCCTGCCTCCTGCAAGCGCCTTTAAAACATCTTCAGAAGTCACAGGGGACCTCTGAACACAGGGTCTGGAGAAGCAGGCCCGCCATCAAGTCCCCCCGCATGGCCCCTTCTCACCTCGCTTGCATTTCCACAGAGAGGTCCCCAGGGCCGATGCCACACACTGGGCCCCACGGCTGAGGACTAGAGTCCTGAATAAGGCTCAACAAGCGGCGGAAGCACACGCTGGTCAGTAGTAACAGGTCAAGTGAGGCCTACGCCACCTACCTGCCCAGAGCTCTGAGGTTATGTGAGGGGCCATGGGGGCGGCCATCACCATCAGGGCACACAGGGCATCCTCGAACTCGGGGCTGTGGAGAACAACTCTCTGCGAAGCTTGCTGCGGGAGAGAAGGGAACAGCAGTGTAAGCATGCCGAGGCACGCAAGATGAGCCTGGGTAAGAGAGGCCATGAAGCTTCCTGAAGTCCAGAGACATGCAGGCGTGAAGAGACTCTCTTCACATCATTTTTGTTTTAGGCAAAGAACTTTCCCCATTTAATCACAGTATTAAAAATAGCTGGAGCAGCAACAGCAGTTGTATTATTGTTCTATTTTATTTTTTTGGCTGCGCCGCACAACTTGCAGGATCTTAGTTTCCTTATGAGGGACTGAACCTCATATGAGGCCCTCTGCAGTGGAAGCACAGGGCCCTAACCACTGGACCGCCAGGAAAGCAGATATATCACTGTTGACTGAACATTTAACCACATCCTTGAGCTGATGCTAACTGGTTTGGGTCTTCCCACCCTCTGAGGGCAGTATTGTTAGCCCATTTGACAGATGAAGCAGCTAAGGGCTATGACAGAGGGAGAGTCACCTGTGCCTGGACACACGGTTACGCAAGAGATGGAGACTAGACTAGAATGCAGGTCAGTCCTAATTCTTAACCACTGTGCTAGGTTTCCTATATGTGCAGGACCAGTGGGAAATGCAGAGACTTGCTCAAAGGTTCTGCACTGTGAAACTCCCAGGACTGGGGTCCTCTTGCCTCTCTCAAGGATCTCAGGGGTCCTCCTATTCTTTGTCAGTTCTTGCCAATACTCAGTGTCTTCCTGAGGTGAGGCTGATCAGTTAAACTTGTCACACCCATTCACCTGCTGCAGACCAAACTTAAGAAATAAAACGTCCAGAAAGGCATGGTCTCTGCCCTCTGGGAGCGGCAGGCCACCTCACCACGTGACTGGAAGCCACACGCCACCCTGCCCCTGGCCAGGAGCAAATGGGCACAGATGGGCCACTTACCGAGAGGGCACTGCTGAGTCCCATCAGCTGAGAAATTGCAGAGTTCAGCGAGAAGTCCTCTGTGAAATGGGCAGTCACCTATTGGTAAAAGCAGAATCATTCACTTTGTTCAAAGTTCCGTTAAGCTTACACACACACACACACACAGACACACAAACTGAATTATCTGAAAAATGTGGAACTAAATGCATGTCATAAAAGATACTTATAACTGATTTCACTATCTCAAGTAGTCACTGTAATGTTTTATCAGCACAAAGATTTTTTTTTTCAGCACAAAGATTTTTAAAGTCAAAGTCAATGTTGTTTCCGCCATTCAAGACCGCTCCTCTTCCTCTATAGCTGTGACAGTGCTGGTTCCCGAAGCAGGTGCCTAAGAAAACACTGATCGTTACCTGAAGAGGAGGCGGGACCCACTGATGACCAAACAGCAAACGGGAGATGGGATAAAGGATGTCACTTCCCCTTAATTCACAATGAAGATTACTGGCACATGGGGATAAGGTGAGTTTTACATTTTCAAATATAGAGTCAACACAAGAACACAAATACTACTTGTCAGCTTTTTCCTATTGGCATGCTTTTCAATTTTGACCGTGGGCAAGGATACAGAAAACTAACACACCCTTAAGATGTCAGAGTTTCCAACTTGTTGAAATAACCCAATTCTATTATCTGACAGAAGAGAAGAATCTGCCAAATTCAAAGAGAAAATATGTGATATGCAGATACTCATTCACGCAGCACTCAGATAACTAAAGCCAATCTCATGAGCTCTGCTTCTCCACAGCATGGTAGACAGGACGGAAATAAAGCTGAAGAAGTATCACTAAGTGAGACCATGCCGGGTCCGGGGCCACTGCAGTCTACACAAACCAGAGAAAAGCTCAGCTCCTTTTCAACGTCCTCAGTTACCGGAGTCTGGAGAGGTGACCTTGACTGACTTTCTAAGTTTGAATCAGCACATCTTAAAAAAAACCCACAACATTCAGCCTAAGGAGAATTTGGGGTATTTAGTACCCACTCAAAAGTGGCTTCAGACTTCCTAAGTGCTTTCTTTCAAAGACATATGACATTTTTTCACAAAGGTCTTAAAGAGGTAAATGTCATATTATAGCAGACTTTCAGATGAAAAATTTAAAGGGATGTTATCAATGAAGAATCTTTAAAAATGATTTAGACACTACTATGCTATTCTCTAAGAAGATAAAATAAACCATTGATTTATTTGCAAAATTCATTCCACAATATCTTGCACAAATACTGTGTAACAAAGTTTCTGAGTGGAAAAGTCTCCGCTATGATGAGTATCAGGGAACTCTCTGCTCAGTTCCTCAAGGGCTGTGTGACTTTCACAGGGCATTTAACTGTTCTGTGCCTCAGTTCTGCCCACAGAAGGGATGAGGAGGAGGCTAAAGATGAGGAGACTAAAGAACAGAGTCTTTTCAACCCCTTTCAACTCTAAAATTCTATTTCTGTTTTTATAATATATATAGTGTGTCATCAGTATGACATTAAATTTGATTCTCTGTCTGAAAGTAAAGCGTGAGTTGCTCGGTCATGTCCAACTCTTTACAACCCCACAGACTGTAGCCACCAGGCTTCTCTGTCCATGGGATTCTCCAGGCAAGAATACTGGAGTGGGTAGTCATTCCCTTCTCCAGGGGCTCTTTCCACCCAGGGATTGAACCTGGGTCTCCCGCATTGCAGGCAGATTCTTTACTGTCTGAGCCACCAGGAAAGCCCTAGGATGTGTTAAATACGGAAACATGGAAAGTGGGCAGCTTCCTCAGATCTGGGATGGACAAATGAGAGACATCACTAGAGGGAGCCATTTCCCAAGAGCATCTCTCTCCCTTAGAATGCGTGCACTGCTGCGTTCTCACACACTAGTAAAGCAATGCTGAAAATTCTCCAAGACGGGCTTCAGCAATACGTGAACCGTGAACTTCCAGATGTTCAAGCTGGTTTTAGAAAAGGCAGAGGAACCAGAGATCAAATTGCCAACATCCGCTGGATCATCAAAAAAGCAAGAGAGTTCCAGAAAAACATCTATTTCTGCTTTATTGACTATGCCAAAGCCTTTGACTGTATGGATCACAATAAACTGTGGAAAATTCTGAAAGAGATGGGCATACCAGACCACCTGACCTGCCTCTTGAGAAACCTATATGCAGGTCAGGAAGCAACAGTTAGAACTGGACATGAAACAACACATTGGTTTCAAATAGGGAAAGGAGTACGTCAAGCTGTATATTGTCACCCTGCTTAAACTTATATGCAGAGTACATCATGAGAAACGCTGGTTGCAGGAAGCACAAGCTGGAATCAAGATTGCTGGGAGAAATATCAATCACCTCAGATATGCAGATGACACCACCCTTATGGCAGAAGGTGAAGAAGAACTAAAGAGCCTCTTGATGAAAGTGAAAGAGGAGGGTGAAAAAGTTGGCTTAAGGCTCAACATTCAGAAAACTAAGATCATGGCATCTGGTCCCATCACTTCATGGCAAATAGATGGGGAAACAGTTGAAACGGTGGCTGACTTTATTTTTTTGGGCTCCAAAATCACTGCGGATGGTGATTGCAGCCATGAAATTAAGATGCTTACTCCTTGGAAGGAAAGTTATGAACAACCTAGATAGCATATTAAAAAGCAGAGACATTACTTTAACAACAAAAATTCGTCTAGCCAAGGCTATGGTTTTTCCAGAGGTCATGTATGGATGTGAGAGTTGGACTATAAAGAAAGCTAAGCACAGAAGAATTGACGCTTTCGAGCTGTGGTGTTGGAGAAGACTCTTGATAGTCCCTTGGACTGCAAGGAGATCCAACCAGTCCATCCTAAAGGAGATCAGTCCTGGGTGTACACTGGAAGGACTGATGTTGAAGTTGAAACTCCAATACTCTGGCCACCTGATGCGAAGAGCTGACTCACTGGAAAAGACCCTGATGATGGAAAAGATTGAGGGCAGGCTGGAAAAGACCCTGATGATGGAAAAGATTGAGGGCAGGAGGAGAAAGGGACGACAGAGGATGAGATGGTTGGATGGTATCACTGACTCAACGGACATGGGTTTGGGTGGACTCTGGGAGTTGGTGATGGACAGGGAGGCCTGGCGTGCTGCGGTTCATGGGGTCGCAAAGAGTCGGACACGACTGAGCGACTGAAGTGAACTGTTGCTCCACCTTGGGGAAACACGCAAAGCAGGAGGATCAAATAATCAAGGTAAGTGGGGCCACCATAATAAGATAGGAGGAAGATCCAGTGTGCCCACCCCAGGGCAGGCAGGCCACACAGACCACAAGGGCTCAGTCACAGAATCAACCAGTGTTCCGGGAAGGGTTCTGACCTGAGAGATGACCGAGTTCTTGTACTCCCACAGCCTCCTGGCCTCGGCTTTCTCCTTGTCGCTCAACAGCTGAGGCCTGGGCGCCTTCCCAGATGTCCTGGCCTCGATAAATCGCGTCACCAAAGACCACAGACGCTGCTGCCATCTCAGCACCCCAGGGAGTGCATCAGCTGCGTGTGACGTTAGTGAACAAGAGAGAGGAGAGACATGTGAGGATGACTGGCTTGGTCACACCAAGCAACAAAGTGCCTGTGAAGGAGGAGATGCTTCATGGGGTCTCCCTGAGGGTGGGGAGAAGGGTCTTCCCTGGCTGCCAGTGCCTGGGACATCAGACCAGGACTGACTCAGTCATTTCTTCTTAGGGCCCCAGATATTCTGAGCATAGGACGCCGGGGCTTACTCAAAGGGTTCCCAGCAACTGTCACCAGCCCAAAAGGAGCTTAGAAGTTTGGGCCAGGATGTGCGTGAGGGCATCGCCTCCTTGGTTAAGAAAGCCTGCTGTGACGAAAACGTCCTTGGAACCAGCAGCGTGCGTGGAGACAGGGCTGAGTTACATGCAGGCTGCCCTCTCACGTGGACAGGCAGTACACAGAGGCAGCGCTGGTCCCACGCTGCGTTCAGAGCCACCCTGCTATGCAGCCTCAGGTGTTTCAACACAAGCCCGGTCTTCGCCAGTTTTGTGTTTCACGTGTTTCAGCATGCGCGCATGCTCAGTCGTGTGTGACTCTGTGACCCTGTGGACTGCAGCCCACCAGGCTCCTCTCTCCACCGGATTCCCCAGGCAAGAATACTGGCGTGGGTTGCCATTTCCTCCTCCAAAGGATCTTGCCAACCCAGTTTTAGATCTAAGCAACTCTGGAGGGAGAAACCGCCACGCCCCCCCCCGCCCCCCCCAACACCCCGACCGTGGGGCTGCTGTGGGAGACTGCAGAGGTCACAGGTAACAGCGGGGCCAGGCCCCATGTGGGGTCCTCTGGCCTGGTAAAAGGCAATGACGCCGTTCCGGGAAAAAAACCTTTCCGGTTACACCAAGAGGGGACTGGCCTCTGTGGACCGCAATGGGCCCAGACGTACCACAAAAACCAGCCTGGCTCAAGGAAATGTTCTCAAAGTGGGATCCTCGTAGAACCTGCCAGAGAACACCAGTCTGTGCTGAAGGCAGGCTCCCAGCCCCACCCTGGGGGCTGGGTCAGCAAGGCTGCAGTGAGGACCGGGGGTCTGCAGCCACAGCACGCTCTCTCGCGGGTCTGGGGCTCATTACGTCTGACCACGCTGGTCTAGGAATGGCACAGGACGTCGGGCAAACCTACCTGCTCCACAGTAGGACCCTAGGACCCTCCCCTACTGTCTCAGCAAAGACACTCCCTTCCCTGGACTCCCTGGGCGCGGAGGCGGATCACGGAGGCGGCAGGCTGGGAGGGGAGGCTGACTTACTCTTCACATCCCACAAGACATCCTTCTCCGGAGGGGCGGCGAAGAGGATGTACAGCCGGACGGTGTCGATGCCGTACTGGTCCACCACGTCCTCGGGCTCCACGCCATTGTGCTTGGATTTGCTCATCTTCTCCCAGCTCACCTCGAGCTGCTCCCTCGTGTTTGCGTGAACGGGATCGGAACCTGCAAACCAGAAGGACGCGTCAGTAGGAGGGGACGCTGAACTGTTCTATCACAGCATATCCAATCTGGAAATACTGAGGGAGCCGTTCAACGTGTCCACTTGAAGAATCCCACTAATTCACTTAGTGTGACGTGTTCTCTCCCTTTAGACATTGTAACCGTGGTTTAGTTTTCAAATAAGTGAGGCCCACCTCCCACCACAAATCTGCCTTTCAATGAACAGATGGTACACTTGCCAGCTTTTTCTCGGTCACAAAACAAGACAAAGCAATGGCCCTCTTTTTAAAAAGTAAATCACTTACATACAAAAAGGACAGGCAAAAAGGGTAAGGAGGACCTGCATACTGCTCTTTTCTTTATGGATTCGGGGCCTCCTCTGGCAGCTGGCAGCTGACCAGCCAGGGTCTCGGAGCAGCAGAGCATGCCTGAGGTCACTTCACCCGGAGGGAGGTCCCCGTCCATGTGAAGTCACCAGAACGTGAGCTCACCCCAAGAGCGGGGTCCAGGCATGGGGTTAGCTCGCTGGGCTCATGTGACCCGTGGGTCCCGCTGTGGAGCCCTGTCCTTCTCTCCTCCCCACTCCACACTATCTGTCCGGACGGTGCTGACAGAGGAGGCCTTCCCTGGCCGTGTGTGTATGAGGTGGCCTTGCAGCCAAGCTCCAGCGGCTGGGACCAGGAGGACCCCTGACAAGGTTAAGTCTCCTTCTCCCCAACTGGCTAAGAGATGCTCAGTCTGTCTCGGTGCTGCTGGGCACTGGAGCCCGGGGTCCTAAGCAGGTGAGGCCTCTGCCCAAGGTCACTGTGTGCACTGAAATTAGGGAGAGCGGGGTCCAAGCCTGGCAGGGGAAGGAGAACAGGGCAGGAGAACGGCGCGGAGCAGGAAGCGGAACTAGAGGCTCAAGAACAACAGAGGAGGCAGCAGGAGGCAGCAGCGGCCGCAGCTTCCTACACGCTGCCCCTCCCTGCAGCTGGGCTTGGACGATGTCCCTATGTCCTTGGGTGAAACCCGCCTTTGTGTGGATTTCTGTTCCTCCTAGCTAAGTATTCCTTGGCTCCAAGAGCAACCCAGATGGGCCATTCTCACCTGTGAGATCTACTTCCTCTCGCCGTAGATACTGTCCAGACGGTAGGCGGAATGTCTGCCCCTTGATAAGGCCTTGGGCCAGCAGTTTATGAAAAGGCTCTCTAAGGAAAGAAAACAGGAGCAGAAAACGTGGGGTGGGCACTGGGTGCATCCAGAGAGAGCAGTACAAACCTTACCTGTGGATGAGTACAGGTAAATGCTCTTTGTGAAAACAGGCTGACCACTTGTCAACTCGACTTGCACAAACAGTTCCTTACACATAAACACTAAGAAAACTAGGTCAAATCAGTGGAGATTAACTACTTTCCAACGTAGGGAAGTGAAATAACACCAGGCCTCACATCCGGAAGTCCTGGATCGGAATCTCTGTGCTGCTTCTCAATGAGCCCAAGGCAAGTCACTTCTTTACTCCGACCATCAGTCTGCTCATCTGTAAAATGGGGATTATAAAAACCTGCCTCAAAGCATTGTTGGGAGGATTAAATGAAACGACTGCATGAAAACAGTTGTAAATTTTAAAGGTATGTACAAAGGTCAGTTGGGCTTCCCTGGTGCCTCAGCAGTAAAGAATCCGCCTGAAATGCAGGAGATCCAGATTTGATCCTTGGGTTGGGGAGACCCCCAGGAAGAGGGCCTGACAACCCACTCAGTGTTCTTGCCTGGAGAATCCTATGGACAGAGGAGCCTGGCGGGCTAGAGCCCATAGAGCTGCAAAGAGTCAGACACGACTGAAGCGACTGACACGCACACACACGAAGGTCAGTTATGCTGAGCCCGGAGTAACGAAAAGTTCAGGATGACACAAAGAGGTCTACCGTGGGCTTTTATTCAAGGAGATAATTCACTCCTTAACTTTTATACAGTGCTTGCTAAAATTCTTTTAAATATCTTTAAATCATGCAAATTATACATGATTACCCCTTTTGTTCAAATTCAAACACCCCTCCCCCTGACTTCCCAGGCCTATTCCCCTCTGATGAGGCAATTACTACTAGTTCACACAGATCTGTTTCTGTTTTTCTTTTGGTTGCACAGCATGGCATGCGGGATCTTACCTCCTCGACCAGGCCCTGGCAGTGAAAGTACTGAGTCCAACCACTGGATCACCAGGGAATCCCCAGATCTATTTCATTTTCAACATCTACTGAGTACTTTACATATGGGTGGATTATAATTTATTTATAGTGTCTATTTTTTAAAAAAAGCAGTGTTAGTCACACCCTTATTGGCTGAATAGTGAACTGAAGATGTTTTCTCTTAAGAGGACAAGCAAAGGTTAGACTCTTGAACTGAAATTATTTCAGATTTGAAACTGTTGCACAGTTTTGAAGCACATAAGAAAGAGCTACTCCACATTCAATTTGTGGAGACCTCTGCTGAGAGCACGTGTCCATATTTCACTCTTATAAAGCGCAGGGAGGAACATTTGAATGAGGAGATGGATTGATGTTCTCTGCCAACATCACCCCCAGTACAACACATCTATCAGCATACGAACCATCGGGGTCTTTAAGCTCACTTACATGGAGTGGCTTTTTAGAGGCTCAAAGACCCAACAGATAGCATCACCAACTCAATGGACATGGATCTGAGATAGTGAAGGACAAGGAAGCCTGACATGCTGCAGTCCATGGGGTTGCAAGGAATTGGACACAACTTTAGTGACCAAACAACAAACAACTCAAAGACCCAATAACCTCAAAGAGGCCAAGCAGAGCACAAGCCCAGCTCTAGTGATGGAGGCACAGGGTGCTGGCTTTGTTAATTAACAGAATGTCGTTTCACACGTGAGGCTAATACAGATGAACCCTGGGACAGAGGAAGAAGGCCTCCGTACAGAGCCCTGATCTGCACACTGGGCAGCCCGTCACAGCAGCTGGGCGGACAGATGCGGTTTAAAGGAAATTCTCCAGTGGCCTCAGAGGGATGGAGTGGAACAAATAGGAAGACTGAGAAAGAGATGAAGGTCAGCTAGGAAAAAAGGACCCCTGGTCTCTGTGTTTTAAAATCCTGTTATGAGCATGTGTATGTATGTGTGTGTGCACATGTGAGTTTGGTGGGGTGTGTGTGTATGTGTGTGTGGGGGTATCTGGTAAGGTGTAAAAGACCCAATATAATTAACATTAAGTGGAAATTAGTCAAGTTACTCAGTGTCAACAGGGCCTGTCCATCATGGTACCATGTTAATTTGGAAGACGTACATGCAGAAAAATAGTCACCCCATTGTTCTGGCTCCAAAAACTATCTTAATAATAAGCTCTTTGAGTCACAAAACTGCCTTCCTTCCACCTCTCAGACATTCCACCAGCAATGTCACCACTGGCAGAATGACATCCTTCTGTACCACGTCCCAGGAAGATTCCCAGACAATGTGAGTGATACGAAAAATGATCTGAAAATACAGTGCACTTGGATCTCAGGCTGCATTTTAACCCAGAAGCACCTTTAAGGGGGAGCAACGGTGTCTGTGGTCCCCACTTCTCAGGAACACAGAACACAGAACCATGAGGAGCCTAGTGTCCTTGGGCCACACGAGCTGTATCCAGGCAGGTTGGGGTTTGGATGCCCAAGACCCCAGATCTGCGTTTTCCTCGGGAAGCTCAAGGGCCTCTACCCACAGATTGAGTCTGCGGCGTTCTCTGCCACCAGCCCCGTCTGCCCTCTGGGCCTCTGCCTTCACACCTAAATGCCCCTGGCCCTCATAGAGGCCCCAGGGACACTGGCTGTTCCCAGAACAGGCCATGCGGCCTAGGACTCAGCAGGAATGCCCATCTCAGCCTGAGTTCCTGAGGTAACCCGGACCCGCCCTTCACCACTGAGCTCAGGCACCTCCTTCTCTGGTGGTGTCCCCGTCTCCCCTGCACGCGGCTCTGGACTCTCCTTCGGCTCCTGCCATGTCCAGCACGCTTGGCCATGAAGAGCATGCCCAGGCTGTGTGCTGATTACAACATAAATACCTGTGTACCGCCGCCATACCCCCGTCGTGACAAGGACTATAGTCTTGTCCTTTCATCTGTCTCAGCGCTTAGCACTCTTTCAACGGACGACAGGCTCTTTAAACATGTTCAGAACACGGATGATGGATGAACAAACACAAATGAACAGACAGACGGACGGCAGGATGGAGGGAGGAAGACATGTTTGAAGCCATCTGTGCCTTCCATCCAATCTGGGGTGGCACCTGGATTTTAACCTCATCACACAAAAGATACAACACAGTTTTAAAACAGAAGGAGAAAAGCATATGGTTACTTTTTACTGGGCAGACAAGACAGTGGCTACACAGCAAACTGAATGAGTGTCCTACGTGCGGGGGCGGCCTCCCCCACACCCGGTGGGGCCTTCACTGGGCATTGGTGGGCTCAACGGGGCCGATTTTTGCACACACCCGGGGTGCACGTTTTTGAGTATAATTTTACATGCTGCTGCCTCACACAGAGACACACTGCAACTTTCTTCCCGCTGGGCTCCGTGGCAGGAGGATGAATCTGCTGTTACCATCTTAGGCTCTAGTGTCCCTGTGCACTGGTTTTTGAGGTTTTTCTTTTCCTTTCTCACTGTTAGTACATGGCTTTGGTCACTCTTAATAGAAATAAAAAATATGTCCTTGGGATGGAAGAAGGGAGGGAATCATTTGGATCCCAAAGGTAAAGATTATCAGTAGGATGATCAAAATCAGTAGCTTTAAGCTTCCAGGAGCGGCAGGGGCAGAAATAAGGAGCTTGGGTGTCATTCTGGCAGGGTATTAAGTGGTGCAATGCTGCCCTCTTCTGGGGATGGGCAGAATTGCAACCTGCTGGAACTTTTTTTTTTTTTTTCTTCTTCAAACTAGGGGCAGTACTAAAGAAGGTTCAAACACCATACAATCGTGCCCATTTCAGATATTAATAAGGTTATGTTCAAAATCATTCAAGCTAGGCTTCAGAAGTTCGTGAATAGAGAACTTCCAGATGTACAAGCTGGGTTTAGAAAAGGCAGAGGAACCAGAGATCAAGTTGCCAACATTCGCTGGATCAAAGAGAAAGCAAGGGAATTTCAGAAAAACATCTTACTTCTGTTTCATTGATTATGTTAAAGCCTTTGACTGTGTGAACCATAACAAACTGTGAGAAACTCTTAAAGATGGTAATATCAAGACCATCTTACCTGTCTCCTGAGAAACCTGTATGCTGGTCAAGAAGCAAGTTAGAACCCTGTATGGAACAACTGACTGGTTCAAGATTGAGAAAGGAGTACAGCAAGGCTGTTTATAGTTCCCCTGTTTATTTAACTTACATGCAGAGCACATCATGCGAAATGCTGAGCTGGATGAGTTACAAGCTGGAATCAAGATTGCCAGGAGAAATATAAACAACCTCAGATATGCAGATGATACCACTCTAGTGGCAGAAAGCAAAGAGGAACTAAAGAGCCTCTTGATGAAGGTGAAAGAGGAGAGTGAAAAAGCCGGCTTAAAACTCAATATTAAAAAAACTAAGATCATGGCATCCTGTCCCATCACTTCATGGCAAATAGAAGGGGAAAGGGTAGAAGCAGTGACAGATTTCCTCTTCTTGGACTCTAAAATCACTGTGGATGGTGACTGCAGCCATGAACTTAGAAGACGACTGCTCCTTGGAAGGAAAGCTATGACAAACACAGACAATGTATTAAAAAGCAAAGCCATAATTTTGCTGACAAAGGTCCATATAGTTAAAGCTATAGTCTTTCCAGTAGTCCTGTATGGATGTGAGAGTTGGACCATAAAGAAGGCTGAGCACCGAAGAACTGATGCTTTCGAACTGTGGTGCTACAGAAGACGCTTGAGAGTCCCTTGGACAGCAAGGAGATCAGACCAGTCAATCCTAAAGGAAATAAACCCTGAATATTCATTGGAAGGAATGATGCTGAAACAGAATCTCCAATCATCTGGCAACCTGATCACTATGAAGAGCTGACTCACTGGAAGAGACCCTGATGCTGGGAAAGACTGAGGGCAAAGGAGAAGAGGGTGTCAGAGGATGAGATGGTTGGATGGTATCACTGATTTAACGGACATGAACTTGGGCAAACTCCGGAAGCTGGTGAGGGACGGGGAGGACAGCATGTTACAATCCACGGG